CCCGCGTTGTCTGGACTTTGCTCAGATGGACCATGATATTTGGGGGCTACTAGCAACTCAGCCTTCCGCGCACTGATCGTTGATGTTAGCCCCATGCTGGCATGGAGACGAAGGTGGTAGTCCGGCCAATCAAGAGCTTATTGGTACCCTGGGGTGAAATGGCTAGAAATCGAAATGGTAATCTTTTGACGACTGTTTATTTTCAGGCGTGGGTGATGCATTTTCAGATCTAATGATGGCTGGGGTCCAAGCTCCTGATATAAGGCTTTCGAAGGCGTCATAAGTTTGACGTTATGTAGCCCTGTCGTGAAACTTGCGGCTAGCATGTATGGTAACAGAAATGAAGACTTTCTTATGGTCTCTCAACTTGTGCTTTGCGAACGCGCGGAAGCTAAGCTATGGAGGCAAAAGCTTCATGCGACACCCTTGGCACTTGGCATTTCTAATGGTCGGTCGATGGGTCGTTTAACTCATATTTAAAGTCCTCAGCTTGTGATAATAAATGACATGATAAATAAGTGCCTCCATACCGACGGGAACAGAGTGCCTTACCATTCCTTCATTATACATCTTCATTACACACTATTAAGCTTACTTGAGCGTGGTAGACTGCTTCTACTAGATGTACCTCAGCAGATGTCGTTAATTATTGGTACACACTGGGGGCCATCCATAGAAGAACTTGTTGATAAATACAAGGCTGCCGATCTTTCATGGGCAGCCCAAACCCCCCATGATAGCGCACCTCATTATGATACATAAGTCACAATGATCAATTTAAATATCTGGGACATCAGTTTACAATGCATACAAATAGGACAGAGGGGGGCTCAAAAAGCAATTTCAGTCTCTTATATTTATGTTTCAGTACCCGATGGTCGCCTCTTTGAGTTGTTAACTAAGATAGTTGACTCCGTAACATCGTGGGGGTTTCTGATAACTGCGTCTAGAGCGACGCGGAATGTAGGGGCCCATTTACTTAGTCAACCAAGTTTACTTAGTCAACCAAGTTGAGGTGCCTTGGTGACCCCGTAGCAGCCGCAAGCGAAGCGAATCAATTCCAAACATATAGGCCGAACTCGATCATTTCCGTTGGTTTCTGTGTTGAAACTAGGACAGCCGTCATCAACCAACAGTGACGAGAAAAACATCCTATGCCTCAGCCTGCAGGTGTTGAACGTGCCAGCCAGGCCCAATCGCACCCGTTCAACACTTACACCTTAAGCTTCGGTTCGGATCTTCATTCCCAACATGGTCAAGGCGGCGAGGATGACCGGAATAACGCTGACCATCTCACCCAATCCCGCATATGCGGGAGGAATCTTGAAATTGACGGGCTCGAACGCTCCCCCGGCAAGCAAGATTGCCAATACGTTGTACACGGCGGACCAGACAAAGTTGAAGACCATGCGGTGGAAGCTTGCGCGGCTGACATCGAGCACGAAGGAGATACCTTCGAGACCTGCAAGGAGAACCACATCCGCGGCTCCGCGGGTCACATCGCTGGCGGAAGCTGCACTGCCAAGTTGAACGCCGACGTCTGCTTGGGTAACAGCAACTGCATCGTTCGTCCCGTCACCGACAAACATGACGAATTTGCCCTCTGACATCAACGAAGCAACATAGTCCCGCTTCTGCGAAGGGGTGCATCGAGATGCGACATTATTAATACCAACTTGAGCGGCGGCAGATTCAACGGCACGGGTTTGGTCACCGGAAACGAGGTGAACGGCGATGTTTTGGCGGGTGAGCTCAGCAATGACCTTCTTTGCTTCGGGGCGAAGACGTGTGCGAAGTCCAAACAACGCGATAGGGACAGAGCCACTGGTGACGACCAAGATAGTCATGCTCGCCTCTTGTAAACGGATGACGGCCGGTAGAGCGTTGGCGTCAGTCCACGACGGGTTACCAGCACATACTTTGTGGCCATTGTAACTTGCTTCAACACCTGCGCCAGGGATAGCTCGAGGGTTTGTGAGCTGAACCTCGTGGGTTGCACGGGAAGCAAGATATTTCGCGAGGGCCGCGGATACGGGGTGGTTGTTGCCTGCCACGAGAGCTTTGACGACGGCACGAGCCTCATCCTGGTCAGAGAGTAGGATCTCTTCTTCGAGAACGTCAAGATCTCCCTCCGTTACGGTCCCAGTTTTGTCAAATACCACATCGCTGACTTTTCGAGCCTTCTCGGTGCACTCGGCTGATTTGATGATGACACCACTTCTAGCAGCAATACCGCCAGCCACTACCAACACCATAGGCACGGCGAGGCCGAGAGCACAAGGACAGGATACAGCCAAGACAGCGATAGCATAGGTTATGGCAATGGTGATTGACTTTCCGGCTGATTCACCATGGACCTTGACACCTATGACGGTCCAGACAACGACGACAATGATGGCAACGGCTGTAACGACAGGGACGAACCAGCCTGCGACACCATCGGCAATGTCCTGGATCCTTGGCTTTTTATTTGCCGCTTCTTCGACCAGCTCAGCAATATCGGTGACGGTATTCTTCCCAGGAAGACGAGTAAGTTGGGCCACCAGAGTGCCTGAACCGTTGATGGTGCCCGCAATCACAGTATCGCGTTGCTTCTTGAATACAGGGACGCTCTCACCGGTCAGCATGGATTCATCTACCTCACTGGAGCCAGTCACCACCAGGCCGTCTGTAGGTACACCTGAGTGAGGAAGGACCTTGAATTTATCGCCGTACTGGAGAAGACGGGCGTCGACCTCGAGATCCTTCCCATACTCGATGACAACAGCGGTAGATGTCTGAAGCGAGCGCAATGACACAGCAGCGACGGCCCGAATGCGTGCGAAAGCAGCAGTCAAGCGGCCAAGAAGCACAAGTGTGATGAGGAGGGTGCTCGTCTCGAAAAACTCGCGGGGTTCGAGTGGCCGGTCAGCCATGTGAAAACCAAAACCCGCAACCGAGTAGACATAGGCAGCCGTGATGCTGATGACGACCAGCATGTCCATCTCAAGAGCGCCGCTGTGCACGAGAGATGATATGGCTGGTTTGTAGAAGTCTGGTACCGCTATTAACTGAACGAAAGTTGCCAACACAATTGAAACAATCGAGCGCGTCTTGGGTTCAAGTTTCTCACCCCAGGCAAGAACAACGACGGGAATGGTGAGAGTTGCGGCGGCGACCGTTTTGATCAGTTGATCATACATTCTCTTCCTTCCACTTGCGATTGACGGATCATCGCGAGGGGGAGCCAGCCCCGTCGAGTACGGTCCTAGTTTGCTGAGAAGCGTCCGGGCTCCAACAACAGCTGGGTCGTAGGTGACCCTGACAACTTTCTTGTCAACCAAGTTGACATCTCTTACACCGATGATGGCCAGGTCGGCCAGCGCCTTAGCAGACGGTCCTGAGGCGAGAATGTCCAGCGTCTGATCATCGCCCGACATTCGGGTGCAATGAAAGCCAGTCACCCGTGCAGTGTTGCGAATGATGTCCTCGGCTTTCCCTGCAGCGCCGTCGAGGGTAAACTCGGCATTACCCATGACAAAGTTGACTCGTACGCCAGAGACTCCAGGAATTCCTTTGAGAGTTCGTTCAAGTTTGTTCCCGCATCCGGAACAGGTCATGCCATCAACGACGAGGGCAACGTGCTCCGACCCAGCATTCCTCTCGATATCCTTGTCCACACTGCCGTCAATGGCAAGATGTCTTTTTTCGTACGGGAAGGGAAGTTCAACATCATGTCCGCTGCAACAGTCGGATTGGTCATCGCGAACAGGCTTGATGGCCATGTCATGGTCGTGCGTGGCTTGAGATTTGTTGCCACGTCGCTTAATTCCGTGATGGTGATGATGCTTGTGCTGACCATGGGCATGCGCGGTCGTGTGCGCCTCGATAGGCTCGCGGCGCTTCTTCCCGGCGGAAGGCTTCGCAGAAGCGGCTGCGGCTGTGACAACTGGCTTTTGTTCGCTGCAGCACGCGGTTGGAAGACCGCGATCGATGATACTGCGGCAGATGCAACGGGCCGATTCGAGATAGGCGCTATACTGCTCGAAAGCCTTGGAGAGATGGGTGCTGCAAGCAGAGGCTGGATGGCGGCCGTCCTTGTCGTGGGAATGCTGGTGATCAGCGGCACCTAGGATCGTGAGTTCTGAGTGCACTTGACGTTGGCCAGGACATTGCAGCATACCAGCATGAGCGGCGTCATCTTCGCAAGATTTCTCGCACTCAACGGCGGCGGCGGCAATAATGCACTTCTCTGTCGTACGGTGTTAAACGATGTACACATGACATCACGAGGGATCTCGTACCATCGCAGTGCTCTTCCTTGGAGGTGCAGCATTCGAGCTTGATAGAGCGGCAGGTGGAATCGTCTTCAGAATCGCAGAAAGCTTCTGCATGGCAGTTCTCATCATGGCAGGTCACTTCGATGGCATCGTAGCATACTCCGTCGCCAGCACAGCAGTCTCCGAGCTTGGGGTCACGCCCATATTCGTGCCCATGTTCGACGCCGTTCGCGGGACCTGTGCATCCCTGGTCCTTGGCAGGCTCGCCGGAACAGCATCTCGTGCCCATCGTGACAAAATAACGCTGCTTTCTTCGGTAGGTCTATTGATAAGGTGGAGAGTCATATGAGGGGTGGGGGGAGGAAAGTGGAAGATGTTTGGGGGAAGCGTTCCGTGCTGCCTCAGACACAACCTGTTAAATGTTGGAAACGGAAGAACTCCAACGCTGCTTGGGTTTTACCGGGGTTACATGCAAGAGGAAGGCGTGGTCAATTCGGCAGTGGGCATTCCCGGTCGAACAACCCCATGTCGGAAGTTGCAATCGCAAACATCATTCGTCTATCTCCTGCCCGGTAAATCTTCTGACTTGGCCGCATCTGAGTGTCCTACTTGCGTGATCACTTACAAGGTGAGATGGCCCAAGCTCGCAAACACGTATTTCGACGACGTCCATCAGTTTGATCCACCTGAAGTTTCGTAGGCTTGCGATCAGATGACGTAACTCTAATCAATTTTCAAGGCAGAGTAGTTGGGCTGATGGGCTGTGGCTGAAGACTGCACGGGTCGCCACGGACGCATCTTTGGGCAGACATTATGGATCAAGATGCTGGTGTGAAGCGCGACTTCAGATGATACTTTCGTCGCAGCATCGAAGGGTGGAGACGTACCAAAGTGCATAGAGCAAGACCGTGGCGAGATCCGGAATAGTTTTCACAGAGACTTCAGGAAGACAATTCCGATACCATCAAATGCATCTCACCATTCCAATAATTCCCCGAGCCCTGCCCGATTCCATGCTACCGTAGGCGCCACTAGCATTAGGTTTCCAAACAAACAAGACCGCCGCCCCGTCTAGTCTTTAATATTTACAACATGGTATCTTGTTCCCGAATAACCGTTGGTATCATGCAAGAAGAAAAACAATCATCCCGCTCAATTAAAATGCAGCCATGAAGCCGGTCCTTCTAGGACCGCCGGCATCTTTTTCCTTCCCAAAGGTGGTGACGCGCTCCAGAGGCGGCTCCTCCGCTCTGGTGGCGAGAGTGCTGCCTGGCGACCACGTCGTCGGGACCGTTTGGCTTCCGTCTTCCGACTCCCAAGTCGACACAGTCGACACCGTGTCAACACTAGTGCGCCTGTCCCGCGGCGCATGGACACATTGGTAGAAGCCCTCGCGGCCCTTGACGGGGCGGGGGAAATTAGTGATGGAATCGTGGCTGATGCTCCGCTGATGGTGCTGCTCGGCTGCAACGCCGGGGAACAGCCAGCTGGAAACGCGCGAAAATGATTTCTTCTTGCGCAAGGGGGGCCTCAGGACGAGGGGAAGTGGGGGAGGCGGCGGCGGCCGGCTTTCCCTGCCGCGGCTCGGAGGCGGGGTAATGAAGGCTGCCGAGGCGTCGGCGAAGGCCATGCCGCGGTGGGGAATGTGCACCGGTGGCCGGGGTGGCGCCGTGTGAGGACGCTCGGCCCCGGGGTTTAGACGCTCGGCAAAGGATGGTGCGGATGGCGGGAGGGCGGGGACCGTGGGTATGGGCTCCACGTCTAATCTTGTCAGTTCACGTGAGACTGCTAAATTTGGTTCGTCTGAGCTTACCGTGCGCTGTCAGTGCCATCGAATGAGCAGTCGAAGGCCGACTGCTGGCGTAGATGCTCTGACGCTCCATGACTGACTCGATCTCGCGCTGAAGCTTGTCTACCTCCAACATGGCGCCGGCGATACGCTCCTTCATCCTCTCTGCGCTTGCACGAGATGACGTCTGAGACCGGGCCCTTGACTTGGGCGGAATCTTCGGCGGTGTATCGCTTGCCAAAGTTGATGGCGACGCAGACATCTTCCGGGGTAGATGGAACGACATTGGGGAATAGTTCGGTTCATGCGAAGGTCCGAATACATCGTCATCGGGATTAGGCCGGATTTGGGAAGGCCGTGGCGGTGTAATCATGTCGAAGTGCGGCAGAATCGGCGACAGCTCCCTCTTATGCACATACATGCTGAGTTCCAGCGGTCTAAACGACGAAGGACGAGGTCGTGGCGTGGGACGTGGAGGTGGGGTCCGGCCAACGTGCTGGAGGTTTGTATACTGGGGAAACTGAAAAGATTCTGAATGCAAATGGCGGAAGTTGCTGGGGGCCGATATTTGTAGTCGCCGTGATGAGGAGTCTGAGCGAGATCGTTTTCTCACAGAGAACCGCTCCCGGAGCGATGCGAAACTTCTCTTCACTCCTTTCGACTTCCCCTGCGGTTGAGAGCGAGGTCCGGCTGTCTTTTGCATTGTCCCAGCAAAGGGCCGCGGCATGGGCACGGGCTGATTGCGGGTTACGGTGGGTGACAGTTTCTCAGAAATGTCAAAGGTGTCTAAGCGGGTTGGTTAGCCTCCGGTGGTTGATATGTGTTTACCGGACCTAAGAGACTCACTTTGACGCGGCTTATTCTCCACGGAGTCAGAAAATGGAGCGCAGCAGTCGATGAGGGGCGAAAGCCATGTCGCATAGGCGTCTGCAAGCATGCCACTCAGACCCTTCATACCTGCTTTACAGATTGCTTCATGCCGGACATTTGCTGGAGACGATAGGGGAAAAGCGAAAGACGGCCAGCGATTTGACAGAACGAAAGAAGAGAGGATGCAAAAAAGGGCGGCAAAGCACAAGCATCAAGAGCGAGCGATCCGATTGAGTTATAATAGAGGGCAGTGGAAGGCGAACAGGTAGTAGGCAATGTGAAAGAAACCCACTTGGGTGTGGCCGACTTCTTTTTGCAGCCCAGGCATTTTGTCTCCCAATTCCCACTTTGGGCGAGAGAACTGTTCAAGTGCTTGCTTTGCTTAATAGGTCCAGCTGAGAGGAACATGGAGGGGACATGGGCCTAGCAGTTGTCGGCGAGGTGTGCAGTCAAGATGCAGACGGAACGATCTGATAGGCCGGGGTTGCAGACGGGGCCAGACACGGCCGGCCAACCGGCGCTTAGGAAGCTGGGGTCTTGTCGGATTCGGATGGCTGGCGGCACACCACCATCCTGCACCAGATTGCAGGGCTCCACCAGTCGTGTAAGATGAAGACGATGGCTCAGCGAGTCGATGTCTCACTTCTGCCTTGCTCTGGTTACTGGAAACCAGCTTAACCAGCAGTTGCTTGCCACAAGTGTCCCCCCCCGTAAGAGGCAAGGAGGGTCTCGTGCCAGTCACGAACTGTCATCCTGCGATGCCCGTCACCGCCCCTTGTCATCTCCTGGGCCCACGAACCCTTTGTCGAAAATTGTTCACAAACAGGGCGGCGGCTGAAGGGTATATCGACGCCGTGTGTATGCGTGTTTCCAGTCGGGCAATTATTAAGGCTTCTGTGACCAATCATTGGGAAGTGGCCGACTCTCTATCCAAATGGAATGAATAACCCTAGTCGCTCAGTGACATGTTCCAATGTGAGCGGACGGGAGGCAATGATAAATCATTGTGACATGCAAGGCACCGCGGGTGGCAGGGGGCAACGCGGGAAGCCTATGTGCAGATTGGGATGCAATGTGCCGTCACAATATCCATCATCGCTCAGCATGTCTCCGGTTGCAGGACGCCATCGCCGTTGAGTGGTCGTACGGGGAGGGCGAAGCCGATGGGATGGGCTGGCCGATGGATGGTTGATTATGGGTAAACAGAGAGGGTGTAGTGCTCTATTCCGCTCCGCTTGGCGTTTGCCCCTCCAGAATTTGCTTGGTTCTAATAAGCCACTCGTGCAATCAGCATCACTTGACGACTGCTGCGACGATTTTGCCTGTGGTGGTTGCAAAAACCAGGCGGCTCATTAGAAAGAAGTCTCCGGCGTGTGATGACTCGGTTCTAACACAGTAGTGTCCGGGAACCGTTGCTGGGAACTGTGGCGGAGTCCTTCGTCATTGTTTGGTCTGAAGAAATCTGGTGGATGAGAGACACCGGCAGAATTTCTCGTGTTGCTCTAGCGCAAACAAACTGTCTCGGGCGAGCCGCCATAATTAATTAGTGTGGAGGAGGAAAAGAGGAGAGTCTTGGTAAGTGTCTCGCTGACATAAGATTATGCCAATGAGCCCTCAGGCATTTCGACTAAGGCACTCCGACAGGTGCTCTGTATTTTGGAAATCACATGATGCGACGAATGACCATCAGCTCGACCGTTGGAACTCGAAGTGGAGCGCAAATTTGGGTTTGGGTATGGTCCGAGCTTCCATTATTCTCTTGGGCGGGCTTTATCGATAACGGGAGTCGGAGAAAAAGCATGCCGAGCTTCAGTCAACCCCAATGGCCAACGGGTGGAGGGACGGTCCTTTACCCCTGCACGGATTTCTGGACCAGAAGTGAACACCTGGCTTGCTTGCTGGTCGAATTTGTTCAAAGACCCAGCCCACGACCACAGCTCCCACGGTCGTACTCACACTCATCCAACAAAACCTGATCCAGCATCCGGACCTCATTGTCGCCGGACTCCTCCAATCCCGCCGACATATTGGCATAGAACTCAGAGTTCTTCCCCGCGTCTTTCCAAAACACTGGTCGCCTTCGGCACTAGCCCACATTCAAGATGTCGATGCCAATGCCCGGCCCCATGCAGATGGGCCCCAACGGGCAGCCCATGCCTTCGCCTGAGCAGATCGCTGCCATGCGCAGACAAATAGAGGCCGATGCTCAAAAGGCCGGCATGAGTGTCCCGGATTTCCTCAACCACCTCCGACAACAGGCCATGCAGCAGCAACGGATGGCTCAGCAGCAACAGCAACAACAACAGCAGGGCGGCGGCGCAGGTGGAGAGGGCGACCATGATCACGATCATGACCACGAAGGTCATCAGCACCCTCACCAGCACCAGCAGCCGCAGCAAGGCCAGCCTCAACCCATTAGGCCTGGTCCGCCCAATCCCGTTGCGCTTGCGCTGGCTAGCTTTTTGCGCGCCCAGGATTTGAAGCCTCGTACCTGTATCCTCAATGGCGAGCGCAAAGATATGTTCAAGGGTAAGAGCCGAGCGATCGCAGTTTGTACAATCCGAGTGAATATCTGACGTTTGGGTTACAGTCAAGCGTGCGCTCCGTGCTCTCCAGTCCCCCGCCTACGAGAAAGCGCGCAAGAAGAACCCTGAGCTGCCTGAGATCACCGATCGCGCGTCTCTTGAGAACACCTTCAAGCTTCTTCCCATGTCGATGCTTGCTCTGCGCGTTACCAAGACCGACCCCCACGAAGGTCACGATCACGGTCCGAAGAAGACGAAGCGCATCAAGGGTCTCTGGACCGTCCGTATCGAGCCTCAGCAAGAGGCCAAGGAAGAGATGTACTACGCGTGGTTCTGGGAGGGCAGCCAGGTTAAGCGCAAGCTGTACTCGATCCTCGCCCTTGTGCTGATCTTCATCGTCGTCTGTTATCCCCTCTGGCCCCTCAAGCTTCGCCTCGGCGTTTACTACCTTAGTTGGGGATTCTTGGGCTTGCTCGGCCTGTTCTTCCTCATGGCCATCTTCCGTGTAATTCTCTTCTGCATCACCTACTTCGTAACATCTCCCGGCCTCTGGTTGTTCCCCAATCTTTGGGAGGATGTCTCGTTCATGGACAGCTTCAAACCCGTCTGGGCTTGGCACGATGTAAGTTACACTCCTCATCCTAGTGCGAGTCATTGGGCAATAATTGACAACCGGCAGACTGCTCCCAAGAAGGGTAAGAAGAAGAAGGCCTCATCTGGTGGCGCTTCGAGTGCTGGTGGTACCTTCGCCGCATCCACTGGCCAGCCTCTCCCGGCTTCCGCAACCACAACTGCGACGGAGACGCAGATTGCTTCGCAGCCCGCACAACGCCCAGGCTATGTTGCGCCAGCTGTGGAAGAGCTTGGTGATGATGAGGAGTAGATGCATTTTTGAGGTGGCAATTCGCATCATACAGGCGTTGGGGATTTCATTGGCTGGTGAAGGACTGTACGAGTAGGATACCCAACGTTTAACTAGCTGACGCTTGGGCTTGGGAGGTACAAAGGCGATCTGGGTACAGAGCATTCGTTACTTCCGGTCTTTCAGGGTGCTCAATGGACTATAAAAGGCTACGTCAACTCGTCATACTGCGTGGGCTGTGTTGAAACGCGCGCAATGCTGCTATAATCACGCCTTGGACTTGAGCGTTCGAAGTGCAGTGGAAGGTTATTCATTGCTAGCTTGATTATATGCATTTATGTGTCGGAATATCCCGCGATCCTCACTGGACCGATCCCTCAGAGCGCTCGTAGTACCAAATGGCGCCCGCTGTTGTCGCACAGTTGGTCACACGGCCACCGTTGATGTCGGCGGCTACGGGCACGGCATCGCCGCGCTGGGGCTTACCGTGAACGTGGAAGTAGTACCAAGCCTCGGTGAGCTGGGTGTACCCGTTATCGAGAGAGCCCTTGCCGGCTTCGGTAGCGTTGTACCGGGGACCAGAGCATCCAAGATAGGGGACGGCGCCGTGGCCCTTCTTGAGGGCGGCCTGGAGGTCGGAGAGCGAGTAGGCGGTCGCATTAGAGGGCTTGATGTCCTTTGCGGCGAGCCACTTCCAGGTCGGGGTCTCTTGGTAGTAGTGAACGGCGGTCTCGAGGAAGTCGACGACCTCCTCGTGTTCCTGGTACTTTGGACCGTAGCACTCGACGTCAAAGGTGCTGAAGCAGGTGGCGTGCTTGGAGAACTCGTGGGCCCAGAGGACCCAGTTGGGGGTGTACTGGGCAATCCAAAACCTGGTTGCAGAGGACTTGTAAGATTGTGTCTTTTTGATAGGCAGGGGTGGGATCTCAGGGACAGGCCTACTTCTTCATGTACTCGAGAAGATCAAACCTCTCAAAGGGCTTTACGAACTCGTCCAGAGCGGCGCCGGTCCAAGCCGGGACCGGAGTGCCGTCTGGCTTTGCATTTGTGGTGTTGGGGGAGGGAGCCGGGTCGTACTGGCGGCTGAGGTCGCAGTACTGGGTGTACGAGCCGTTGCAGAAGTCGGGCCACAGGCCGTGGATGCCCCACGCATTCGCGGGCAACTTTTGGCCCTCGGACTCGAGACCGGTGTGGGTGTTCCAGAACTGGGTTGCGAGCTGCCCACCAAGATTCATGATCAACTTTTCTCCTTCTCTGTAGTGCACATGGGAAAGCGCAACGACATACCACCAGGCCACCGTACGTCTCCACGCAGCAAGTGTCAACCTTGTCGGGGTTTGCTCCGCAAGAGCAAGACAGAATGGGTTCAACTGCATGAGATGTCAATGCCAATTGAGTCATAGGTCCTCAGAGATCATATTTCTCACCAAGAGCACAGGTGTGGTTCGCGGTGGTCAATCCGGGATAAAGACCGGCTGCGGCGGTGCGCAGGAGGCCAGCGACCACAAGCAGTCCGACTGTTCGTGACATTTTGGGTTGACGGATTTCACAAACGTCGGCGGAGACCAGAGGCAGGGGACAACAACGACACAACCGGCGAGGGGATCAACTTGCGCAGCTTCGCGACACTTTATACATCGTCTTTTCTCCATCTATTTGGCCGGCTAGGAAGAAAAAATAGTTCATCCAATCCAACTTATCCAATCTCCACACGGGAAGCGACGTAAACAAGTTGGAAACGCTCTTGACTTGAAAAGGAAGCTGGCCAGGTTGGTGAGGAGTGCTTGTCAGCCGTGGGTGCCGTCGGCGGACAGGGTGAACAGGGCCATTGTGGGGGTAGTATCCCACCTGCTCGAGATACGGGACATGAGAGGTCAATTGGGCGCGGGGCGATAATGGGGAGAGTGGTTTGCAGTAGCGCAATGCGATTTGACAGGTGCACTCTGTATAGTAAGGGATGGTTCGCGATGAAACTTTCTGGGAAGTGACACCGACGACTACGGCGAGCTCCGAGGACAAGGGACTGATAAACTCGAACATGCCTGCGAACTTTGTAAAGACGCTGATTCTCTCTCTTCACCTTCTGACGGACGGTCGACCTCGCTTACCCATAGCAATGGGAAAGATGGGAGACGCGAAGACGGGGATCCTGGATGACAGTAGGCGAGAGTTCGCATGGCAGGTGGCGGTGCAGGTCGAACCCTGACAGCAATTGTGGCGTAAGCTTGTTCTTTCCAGGTCGTCAAGGTTGGCAAGTGCCTCTCCACCCAGGAACACGTGAACAATGAGCCTGAGGAAGCTTCCGCACAGGCCACCTCAGTCACGGGGAGCCATAGCAGGTGCTGTCGTTTCACACCTTACCTTCCCGCTTCATTCTTGAGGTTGAAAGTGTTCTGGCAAGAGCGTCCCAGGGAGCAAAATTTCAACTACACGCCTCCTCCTCATCCCTCGGATGGCTTCAACCGTGTCATCTCATTGTTACACATTCTCTTCTGTTGTCCGCATTGTATTGTACTCAATTAGATGCCTCGATTCCCTGGGATTGTAAGACCACAATTCGATCACCTGCCTTTCGGCAACGACCTCGTTCATCAAGCTCCGCAACTACCTTGATCTCATCACATCCGCCGACTTCCAGACATCAGTGTAAGCTGTTCTTGAATATTACATCCATGTACTTGAATCCAACTGTCCTCGTGTGTCTGCATGTGGGTATACCTCAATTGGCATCAGACAGGCACGACAGCTTGGCTCGAGGCGCGATTCACTCACGTGGGCTCAGCCTCACGTTGGCGATTCATTCCCGCGAACAATGACATTGACATAAATTCATCTGTTCTCTCACTGCCCAGCCACTGACTATTTCATGCCCTTCTATGCAATTTTACTTGACGCCAATCATTGAGTGGCTGCTGTTACGAATCGAGGCTTTTCTACAGGTCGACTAACACCGTCTAGGTCGATCCACCCAACCGCGCAAGGATGTCAAACGATATACCGGTCGCCGCCTCTAATGGCATCCCCGAGGCTGCTCAGCAAGAGACTAAGCAAGAGATCAAGGAGGAGATGCCATTCTCATGGCTGTAGGTCATGAAATTGATCCAACTGTTGCTCTTTTCTAACAGGTCTCAGTCAGCCACACGCAACGTTCGTCATCATCCTTGTCGGAGCCGACCAGAAGCCTTTTGGCATCCAGAAGAACTTCTTGTGTGCCAGATCAACTCACTACCATAATCACTTCAAAGGAAAGGATGTGGCATCCGATATCATTGAGAATGTTGTGAAGCTCCCCCAGTACACACCGGAAGTCTTCGGCCTCACACAGCTCTTTCTCTTCACTGGGCAAGTTTCAGAGGATGCTGAGACTTTTCCTTCTTATGAGGCGCTTGTTGGCGTGTGGAAACTGGGTCACGAACTGGGCATAGATGGCCTCTGTGACAAGAGTCTTGACGCGATGAAGGAGTGCAGACGTCTCACCCAGAACATTCCCGCCACTCCCCTCCTCGTCCAGGTTTGGAAGGACACCCCTGAGGGCTCAACCATTCGAAAGCTCCTCCTTTCTTGGGCAGCCGAGTACATGCGTTCATCCGACATGAGGGCCGAGTTCGCCAAGTCGCTCCCTCAAGAGGTTCTGAGCGAACTGGTCGTGGCTATGAGCTCACTCGAAAACCTGCCCACCCCGCCTTCAGCACCGGCCGACACTGCCTCCGCCGAGCCGACTCCTAGAAAGAGTGTCCATTATCTAGAAGAGGACAGCGATGGCGAACAAGGACACATGTCCAAGAAGAACCGGCGCGCCTCTGCGCCTCTGCCAGCCTCCCAGAACAGGGACAAGTCATTTTCCCGGGCCCCACCTCCGCCTGTCCGGAAGGCGGCGGCTGTGGCGGCTGCAGCAGCGGCACCCCGTCCAAAGCCCGTTATCCAGAAGCGACGCAGCATTGTTTCGGTGCCAAGCGGTGAGATTACGACGGAGAAGAAGGTCGAATTCTGTTCCGATCTTCTTGACAGGATGCTTTCGGGACCTGGTAAGTTCTACCCCGGAGGATTATGCCATGCAGTCAAAGAAGCTAACTTGATTCACCCCAGGCTTTTGGACGAGACTGGTTGGTCCATTCAAGGAACCCGTGGATCCTGTCGAGGATGGCGTACCCGATTACTTTGAAAAGGTTAAGAAGCCTATGGACTTGAACACAGTCAAGCTCAAGATGTCGCAACACGAGTACCAAACGGAAGACGAGTTTGCGGCCGACGTGCGCCAGATCTTTGACAACTGCTACACGTACTGGTCTAAGGGCGATCCCATATGGGCGGCTTGTGAGAAGTTCCAGAAAACATTTGAGGAGAAGTATGCCCAAATGCACAAGAACATCTCCAAAATGTTGCGCGAGCCCATCGACTAGAGTGTGTTTCTGAATGTGTTTCTCCAGCTCACGACGTAATCCATGGTATGAGATGGAGCTTTTACGTGTACAATATTTCAATGAGGGGACGGATGACAGTTTGGCAGTTTTCTGACTCTTGGGGCGCGCTGCTAATCTTAATGGGAGCGAGATGAGGGCGTGCAGTGTATCGTTAGGACTAGGTGCAAAATTGGAGGAAGAGATGGATTGCTTTCGAGGAGGATAATACCCAGACTGGCCTCGAGCAGTGCAGGACCCAGACTAGCTATGCCATATCACATGTATTCGTACTCAAACTAGACTAGCGACATGATGGATGCAAAGCTGGAGCATCGCGCCCTGTTGATCTCATATGCCCACGTGCCAACGTGGTGGCAATGTTCATGTATCCACCTCGCTTTGTCGGTTGCGAGGTGAACCTTGTTTTCACTCATCGTCGTCTCAATCGCCAACGTCGTTGCTTGTGTCATTTATTGTACATACCAAAACACATTACATGCAATGTCATGAAGTTGAGTTCTGGCTATGGAGAAGTGTTTTTTTCTTTTTTTTGCTTAGATACCAACAAATCCTTGAGCACATTAGCCCCAGCTCCCACGAGTATCTAACTCATTACGAGTCTCACGAGGTGTTTTGCGGTCCCCCAAAAAGGAGGCGTCGATTGCTCCCTTTCCGCCGCCGGCGCGGGTGAGGCTCCTGGGAGAAGCAGCGCAATACCGGCAGGCTGGGCTAGGCTAGAGTGACAGACTTACATTAGCCCCTGGTGCATCGGACCGAATATCCACGGTGCCGGCACCTGGATTCGCGTGGAAGGGGACTTTAGTCTCGGCGTTACCTTCACGTCAGGTGGTGCCAGAGCTAGGCTCGGTCTCTGTTTCCTCTTGGGTCTTGGACGTAGAAGATGCGCGAGTCGAGTCAGGAATCCAAATCATTTTAGTGTTGGGGGGTTTTGATGGGGCTACATTTCTGCTTACACTGCATAGCAGCGTAGTTAGTGACTTGGTGAGAAAGGTAGATAGCTCGGTGGATTTGGGACGAGTCCAGGCCCTCCTCTCACGGTCTACCCCGGCACCCTGGTTCCCACCTCGCCACTTTTTTCTTTTGTGTTCTCCGCATCGTCCCTCTAGAGTCTGAAACCCCCAGGATCGACAAGACGTCAGGAGAAATCCCCGCGTTCAGCACTCCACGTTCTCAATGTTTTTTTAGCGGGGAGGCGGTTCGAGTCATCATCACTCGACCCAAGGAACGGCATCACTTAGGGGTTTTCCTTCTTTTCTTTATCTCGTGAGAAGGGGGCACGGGGGCTCGGTGCAGTGTCCTCAATGCCAAGAAATGTTTTGATAGAGAGCAAAGCGCAACTCGCTCTTACAGAGACCATCTGCAGGTTTGATGCGATTTGCACATCGCATCACACGATTTCGGACAGATGTCCGGCAGGCCTGTCAAAGCCTCAATAGAGGAGACCTGGAGGACTTGGCCGAGTTTCAGCCATTCCCAACGCTTTCAACTTTTTAACTTCTCAAGAGACAAACATTCGTGTGCAAACCCCCCCTCGAGAACGCCATCATCCCACCGCAAGCGCAGATACATGGAAAGAAAATTCTCAACAGTCATACATGCCATGGTCAAGCAAGAGCAACCTCGATGACAATAATCGCAGACCCCAGAGAGACTAGACCGTCTCTTTTCTTCGCGAGATAGTACCCGTAGCGCCATGCTAGATCCGGACTGGGCGAGCCAATCGTTCCCCCGCGTCCCCCCAACCCCCATCTTCCAACCGGTCCCCGCGTCAACAAAACTCACCTGAGGACCGTCAATATACTCGCTGAAAATCCGTCTGACCCGCCCCCCCCTGGCTGCGCGCGGAGAGAAAGTGTGGGTGTCTCGTCCCCACGCGAGCATTTGACCTGGCGTTCCCCCGCAGCAAGCGTCAGCCTTTTCCCCCATACCCCAAGTTTGCTGTGGATTCTCAGAACTCTGTGGGCAAAAAAGCTGCATCTCTTGACCCATGGGCCATGGGGTTCGACTAGCGCCGGTGGGCTGTCCACCTCCCGCGAGCCTTCTTCTGTCAAGCTTCTGCGGCGTCTCTCGGCCTTTCTCCTTTAGCCCCCTGTCATACTTCCTTCTTCTTCCTTCTTGGCTGCCGCTGCCCAGGCCAGATAAGGCACGCATCTTACTAGTTGCTCTTGGAACACTCTGCGAATAGTGAATATCTACCTATACCCAAGTGCCGGGGCAGACCGTAGAACAACGCCCGGAAAGAAGCGCGAAGATGGGGGTTGCTCTCTATCTCTCATCTCACATACACACACACACTGTCTCTCTCTCTCTCTCTCGCATCAACCGCTACGCCGGTCGAATGATCATCAAATGTCTTGCATTTAGAAGGCCGTCAAGAATCTACTACGGCAATAGTTGCAGGTTGTCAGTAGTCTGTAGGGGAGGCTGGAGCACTCGAGGGTTCGTGCACTCCGAACAGCTAGTTAGGTATTTGGCAAGCCGTCCGGCCACCATGTATGGCAGCGGCACCAAGCTACTACAGAACTACAGAGTGATTGGTGAAGCTTGTTGGTTTGAGCGAGATCTGTGCCGTCGAGGTGGTGTGGATCGCCCCCTCCTCTCCCTTCTCTCATGCCGTGAAGGTTGTCTACGGCCAACCTGGGAAAATGTGCCAACGATGGGCATTCCGAAGCCAAGGACAAATTTGAGGCCTGGCTGGATCCGACGTCGTGGTTAAGGTGGGGTTTCCCTGGTCCGAACTAACTTGGTCGAATAGTACCCTAGCCACCTACATAGAAGTCACCTAGTCTTCGGCCCATCCCCCTCAATGTGGTGGCGTGGATGAAGGTGGACGACGGTTTCGCCGACTTGGAGATTCTCCGATATTCTCTCTAGCTCCGGTTAGTTCTCCGCATCATCGTTGTTGTCGTCGTAGCCCTGGCCTGGCTGGCATGGTGCTCCCCCGGGGCTCAAGAGTATATATGACAATGCGATAGCCGCATGACAGATGAAGAAGGAGGAATTTCTTCATCAGCCAGCAGGACTCCTGAGCAGCAAGCATCTAATCTACTCTCCATCACTCGCCAAAACAGTGGGGATTTCTGAACGATTTCTTGCCTATTTGTATCCTCTTCTCATCTTCTTCCCTCTCCCCCTCTTCATCCTCCATCTAATACCCGACTTCGGTCACCCATCATCACCATGTTTGGCAAAAGCCAGGAGCCAGATGTCGCCGAGGTCCTCGAGCAGCACCGGCCCAGCGCGGTCGAGGCGACTCAGCACCAGCACCGCAAGAACGTCTCCAACAAGGGCTTGACAGGCGCGTCGGCCTTGACCGTCAAGCAGTCCATCCTACCCATCACATTGGTCACTGTTCTCTTCTTCCTCTGGGGTTTCGCTGTAAGTCACGACTCGCAATATCCACGTAGCCGCTTCACTTCCCCGTCGTTTTCCACTCCGCTCCGATTCCATTGCAATTCCATTGGATATAACGCATACTGACGAGAAACTCCAATCTCCAGTATGGACTCCTCGACGTTCTCAACTCCAAGTTCCAAATCGCCCTCAACATCACCGCCGCCAAGGCCGGAGGTCTCCAGGGCGCCTACTTTGGCGCCTACTTCATTGGACCCCTGACCTATTCGGGCTGGATCGTCCGCAAGTTCGGCTACCGCTGGACCTTCATCACCGGCCTCTGCATCTACGGCGTCGGCGCCCTCATGTTCTGGCCCTCCGCCGTCTACCGCTCATTCCCCGGCTTCTGCGGCTCCCTCTTCATCGTCGGCTCCGGCCTCTCCACCCTTGAGACCAGTGCGAACCCCTACATCGCCACCTGCGGCCCGCCCCGTCTCTCCGAGTTTCGCCTCGAACTCTCTCAGTCCTTCCAGGCCGTCGGCTCCGTCATCGCCCCGCTCCTCGCCGCTCGCGTCTTCTTCTCCCATACCGAGCCCAATGATTTGTCCAAGGTGCAGTGGACCTACCTCGGCATCGCCGCCTTCGTCTTCCTGCTCGCCGTCGTCTTCTTCATCGTCCCCTTACCCGAGATCACTGACAGCGACATGGCTCTCCAGGCCGAGATGGTCGCCGGCGAAGAGGGCCACGACGACAAGCCCCTCCGCAAGCAGTACCGCCTCTTCTTCGGTGTCGCCGCCCAGTTCTGCTACGTCGGCGCCCAGGTCGCCGTCGCTTCCCAGTTCATCTCCTACGCCGTCGAGTCCGCCGGCCTGACCCACTCCGAGGCCAGCGACCGGTACGCCATCGGCCAGGGCCTCTTCGCCATTGGTCGTTTCGCCGCCGCCGGTCTGATGATGCTCATCAAGCCCCGCCTCGTCCTCATGGTCTTCATGACAGGCATCATGCTCTTCATCGCCCTCGCCATCGCTATTAAGGGTGAGGCCGGCATCGCCATGCTGTCGCTTGTGCTCTTCTTCGAGTCTTGCATCTTCCCCACCATCTTCACGACCGCCATCCGTGGTCTCGGCAGACACACCAAGCGCGGTAGCTCCTGGATCGTCGCGTCCGTTTGTGTAAGTTGATCGCCATCATCCCGGCAACCCCCCCCCCCCCCCACCCCGCCCACAACCCACCGCCTACACCACCCCCCACCCGCGGCCGCCCCCCCCCCCCCCTCGCCCGCCTCCCCCCTCCCCCCCCACGCCACACCCCCCCACACCGCTCCCCCCCGCCCCCCCCCCGCCCACCCCAACAGAGACCGGCGGGGTCAGGCCGCCGAGCGGGCGGTCCGCGCGCCCCCAGTCTGACCGGCCTCGTCGCCGACTCTAAGGCATACCACAGCGCCATAGTTGTGCCCCGCGCCGGCTTCGTCGCCTCCCTCGCCTACCCCACCTTCCTGAACACCATCTGGAAGAAGGACCTGGATAGCTTCAGCGAGAGCAAGATCGGAAACACCGACGAGCATGGCATCAT